TATGACGAATTAATGTGTCAATCGTGCGAGATAAGTAATCGTAGCTTGATTCGTGTCAACCTTCGAACTCATTTGATCCAGAATGGAATAAATCGCAGTCTTTGACGAAGCCTTGATCTTTCATTCTGGTATACCGAAGATTATCGCCAATACCGAGGATCGAAATCGTCATTAATTCCACGTGACTCTGTCCCGCCCCACCAATCGTTCCGACGTTTCATGCTCCGCTCGTTCTGGGCACCATGACTTTTACCTCTAATTGCGAGTCACCTCGCCCAGGGACTTTTCGCAAGACAGACCGTTGCACGCAAAGGTCACCGAGCCGTTTACGAAGGAGCAAATGTTATCCTTAGGCGCGATAATGGCTATCATGATGAAGTGGAAACGCTTGACACGTTGTTAATCAGACAGTTAATGCTTCATATAAAAAGAAATAGATACACAAAGAAATACAAACTCCCGCGATCAGAATCTTCCTACGTAATCATGATAAATGCTACTTTCTCGAATTTACTTTAATCTATCGTTATTCCCCTTATTCCCCTTATTTTCTAATAAATATAATTTATTTATACTATTTATGTCTATTTCTTGCCACTATTTGTTTTCAATTTTTTTGTCTCAGTTGCATGCCAAAGTATCGGAAAAAAATATAATTTGATAAGAAATAAGACAAAATTAATTCTTGTGTATATAGGGGATAGGAATGTTTTAACAAATAAAATTAGAAAATCAAAAATATCAAATGTTAATCATGTTATGTTTTTGTAACTATCAATATAATGACCGTATTAGGCTACATATTAAAGATTGAAAATAAACAATTGGGATTGTTAAAAAATCGGAACAAAAGGAGCTAAAATTTCTTTGTCCTAATTGGTCAGATTTTAATCTTCAATGTATAGTCTGATACGAGCTTTTGTGAGGTGTAGAAGACATGGAGTACAGAAAATCTATAGTATATGTAACGTGAACTATAGATTTCCTGTGCTGGCAGTATATAGTGTATGTCGGACGTAGCTGTGACCACATCACGATTCCTACGCCGTGTAGCCCACTTTCTCAATTAAATTGATTTTTATCTTACAAGCGCTAATTTGCGCCTAAATTGATTCCACAAGGTATTTATTGCTCTAAATTAATAAATCGCGTTGCGTTAATTCACAAAATTCCGCGGAATTGAACAAATTTTGCGGCGTGAAGGTGGAACTACTTCGTGCATCAACGCGCAAGGATACACTCTAACGGACGCTGCGGGATATATAACATCCCCCCACTCGATGATCATTGTTCATACGTTCCTGTTGGACCGGACACTCCGTGCGACGTTCTAGAACGATACGGAACTACGGAAGGCGTCTCACGTCTCACTCGTGCACGATAAAATTAACTGGCGAAGGATCGATTCGAAGAAATCCTCAAGCAAACTAACTATCGACAAGCACGAGTCGCATACAGGTTGGTGCATTCGATAATTAATCAATACTTAGTTGTACAATCGGGCAGACAACTAGGATAGTTGCTAGTTGTGGAAGAATAAGGATTAAAATATGGCGCCGATAAAGGGAGGAGATGCTCGAGATCGACTTCGGAGAAATGAATTCAGCGAGCTGAGTCACATGGAGCAATTGGCCAAGTGGATTGTTAACGTGCGTCGAAAGAAGCTGGAATGCCACAAAACTCTTAAGCGTGATCTTCGAATGGAGGCCGTGCTGACTCACGCCTTGCGCAATGCGGAATACGAATATCGGGCTAAACAGTTATCGAGGGTAAGTCGTTGGCGGCGATTAAGAGGACGGCTTCTCAAGGATGTGGAGTATGGGAGTTGCGGTTTGTACAATGCAGCTGAACATCGAGAGGTCGAAAAACAGCACAATGTCTCAAAAAGGAATAAACTTTCGCAGGAATCTTGGCGCGACGAGCTTAACAGCTTGGATAACTTTCTACAGCAATTAGGCCAGATAAAGTCCATTGTGCAGCGGTGACTAGATTCAAAAAGCTTATGGCTTCTTTGAGCATTGCTGAAGTGAACAAGAAATCTGTGGAATCTATGGAGCAATGAAGCTCTATCTTTTTTTTAAAGACCAATTTCTTGATCCAGGCTCGTCATTGGATGTGGAGCGGAGACACCTTCAGCAATTGCTCGTACCACTATGATTACTAACGGGAAACTTGCTACAGCAACTTGACGAAGTAGAGTCAGTTGTGTAGCAGTGACTAGATTAAAAAAACTTACGGTTTTTCCAATCATCGCTGAAGCAAGACATCTAAGGAACAAAGAAGAAGAATTTTTTTATCCAGATTTATCATAGGATATGGAACGGAGAGGCCTACCAATACTTGTACATATTGCTGTAATTTCTAACATGATTAATCGATCTCTTGTTTCTTCTCTCACTCAAAGAAACACTGGAGAGTTTTGCTCATATGCCAAGATTAGGAAAATCTATGATTATATATGATAAACCAATCTTTTGTTTCTTCTCTTACTCAAAGAAACACTGGAGAGTTTTGCTCATATGCTAAGATTTGGAAAATCTATTCAAATGTTAACAGCAACGACATATCTTGCCTGAAGCTTGGCGAAATCGTTGCGATCAAATGGAGATGTTTGGATCTACTTTTATTATTGACGAGTAGGCCTGGGAAATCCACAATACATACCACACATTACATTGAGAACCTCTGAAGCCTTCTAAGGAAAAAGAAGAAATTTTTCTAGAACCAGCAGCAAGAAGACTATGAGAGTTTTTAAAGAAATCTGAACAGTGCTTAGGCAGCATTGCGGCAATTTTTGCAGTCTGATACTTACTCTAGTATATATCTGCCTGTTTTTTACTTACAGTGTCATCGATTGAGATGGCAATGGATGCAGATGGACAGAAAAAGAGGGATAAAAAGAAAAGGGAAGGAAAAGGATAGAGAAAGAGAAAAAAAAGTTGCTATAATACAGATGCAGACCTTACCTCAGGATTTATCCTCGCATATTTTGGTTCTTTGTAAGTCTACCAGTCATCAATTTAGTTTGTATATGGTATTGAAACCAAAGCACTTTGACTTACTTGGAGCTTGTCTAGTAGTAGATATATATTTAAAGTACAAAATACTCTTACAGAAAACAAAAAAATTTTTACATTCAGAAATATTTTTAAACTTTTTATAAATTTGTAAGAAATATATAAGTACATTGTAAGACATTCGCATTGTGATAATAATTTTATCAATATTTCTAGACTTTAGCTTTTCTTGATCCTGAACAGTATAACTAGGCAAAAGAAATCAATCAGTAATTGACAGAAAATTGTAAGACTAATACATTTTTTGTTTATCAACATATTAATTGATTGCAAAATTCATGTATTATGTACAACATTGCGAGACTTCATATATGTACACATTTTCCTCATACATTTCTAAAATGTTTTATGCTGTTTAGGATTGATATAATGAAACCGAAGGATCTCACAATTATAATATACCAAGAATGTGATATTATTAATTTTTACCGAATTTACTTGTAAGTAATAAAAAACTGTGATGCAGATAAGAGGAGGAAGTTGCCGAGAGTGTAAAATAAATACATTTTGTAAATAATAAAGTAAAACTATTTTTTATTAACTTTTCTTAATTACCAAATGTTATTAATCCAACAATCCTTTTCAGTATGGCACACACATAACATCCTAGAAAATACCTCTCATTGCGAGCAGGGGATATTGGCTGTTCACATAAAGACGACGTCGTCGTCGGCAGCGGCGGCTTAGAAAATGTACTTAGGTTGCCATAAGAGAGAGAAAATGGGCTAAGAGTTTTTATTTCTAGAGACTGGTTCAACAAACTCGGCGCACAAGCGAAATTGTCTCCTAGTCACCGTGATAATGATCTCGTCTGCGTGATAACTACGACAATTAGATATGACATTCATCTGGAGAGCTCCCATTCCCCTGAATCAATCGTACGTTTCCCTAGATCCAGAATTCGATTTTCAATGAATAACATAGGATAATGGTCCTCAGATGTGGAAACACAGTTGCATTAATCCGAAGATTGCAAGTATATTTCAAGTAAGATAACTCGCAAGCATGCAAACCAATTTATTCATTTGAGAGAATTATCCAAAGTTTTTTTCTATTTGGTATGTGAAATGCGCTTGTCTGGTATTGCTATAATAATATATTCATAGATCTGCGTCATCTTGGTCATATTGAGACTATACCAGGATGCCAATATATATGTATGTGTATATTTTAAAGTTTTAGACATTCGAAAAATGTAAGAACGATTACACAATAAATTCCACAGACTTTTATCGAGTGAAGGACACATGAATGTGTTGATATAAAAGAAAGTATATGCGTAAGACATACAATTAATAGAATAAAAGAAGAAAATTATTTTAGAAAATAATTTAAAGCTTGTATTATTACATATTAAATATTAAAATATTTTATGATAGTACACAAAAATATCAAGAGGTTATAGCTCATGTCTCGCGCGAAGCATACGTGCAACAGGTAACAATGCGTATTATATCTTTGTTCTCAAATATCTTAAAACAATAGATTAAAAATGTGTTAAAAATTTCAAAATAATGAGCAAAAAGCTTCAAAATCATTTTTATTCATGAATTTATGAATTTTATTGATGAATTTATAAATGTATCTTTCTGTAATATTTGATGCAAGTATCTTTTGGAAGGGGGGGGGTGTCACTAATCTTGTAGGATATTCGAAGCGTTTCAGATAGCCACGCGATAGTAAGACCCTTAGACCCTTTATGTGGAAATTGTTTTCTTTATCTTGGAAAGCACATATATGGATTCTTAGAAATATTACGAAGTCGGCTAACTGATGATTTACACTTTCTTGGTCCTCGCAAGCAATCTTATCTTTTTCCTCGCTACATCAAACAGGTTTGAGATCGTTCTCTTTTAGAAGAATTTTTAAGAGAAATCTCTTTTTTCCGCAGCAGTCATCGCATTAAATAGACACTTTGGGCTTGAATTAATTCTCCCTAAAATTTTGCCCGCTAATGGAGGAGTTTAGAGAAACATGAAAATAATTAATCATATATCATGATCTGTCATCGGCATTCGAATTATCGCTGGTCTTCAAGATTCCGACTAGACGGAATTTCCTTCCTGTTGTTGGCTGCTTTCGAACGTTAAAGTATTTTCTGCAGGCATGCTTTTATCTATGGTTTACTGCCGCGATTGGAAAGTTCTTTGTCAACTCAGACTTTACTGCAGAGGAGGATTATTGTGAATTTTCATCGCAAAATGATATTTATTGTGGAACTTGCAGACTCAATTTTTTCCAACAGCGCTATTGCAAAATATGCGGAGTTAAAAAAAAATGGTATGTTTTTCTTTCTAAACAAGATGTATAATCATTTATTTAATCTGAGTATCTAAATATTCAGATACAAAAATTTATAATTTTTTATATTTCTTTTGCAGATTTCTTTTTCTATATATATGTATGAAAAATCACTTACCGCATTATTGAAAGAATATTGAATTTAAAAGAATCGTCATCAAAAAATCAATACAGAAGAGGATTCTCATAGAATCATGGTGGAATCCTCATGGAACTATGTTGCTAGAGAATATCATTGTAAGACTTCATTGCAGAAGAGGTTCACTCTATGGAATTTAAGTAAAGAATAGGTTCATCATGGGATTTCATTGCATAAGAGGATAATTATGGGATTTCGTCACAGTAGAGGATTATTATGGGACTTTGTCGCAGAAGAGGATTATCAAGGGAAGACGCCGAAGACGGTCATTATGGAATTTCGACGCACCATGAGTCTTAATTGTAGAAGAGAATCATTGTAGGACTTTATCACAGAAGAGGATCGTTGTAGGATTTCATCGCAGAAGAGGATCACTGTGGGACTTTATCGCAGAAGAAGATTATCATGAGACTTCATTACAGAAGAGGATCATCGTGGGACTACATTGTGGAACTGGATCGTCGTGGGACTTCGTCGTAGAAGAGGATTATTATGGGGCTCCGTCGCAGAAGAGGATCATCAAGAGAATCGCCGAAGACGGTCATTATGAAACTTCGTCGCACCCTGAGTCTTAATTTAGAAGAGGATAATTGTAGGACTTCATCGCAGAAAAGGACCACTGTGGGACTTCATCGCAGAAGAAGATCGTTGTGGGACTTCATCACAGAAGAAGATTATCATGGGACTTCATCGCAGAAGAGGATTACTGCGGATCTCAATTATAGAAGAGGATCGTCGTTGCAAAAAAGGATCATTGTGGGATTTTATTGCAGAAGATAATTATTATGAAACTTTATCACAGAAACGGATTCATCATTGAACTTTGTTGCAGATAAACAGTTCTAATTATTTGTGGTAAAGCAAGATCACTGCAGAATATCTCTCTTGTCACAGAACAGAATCATCACACATCATCTTTGTATATCTCTGAACAAAATTATTGTAGGATTTTATCGAAAAGGGAATTATCGTGAAATATAGTTGCTGCGGAGTATAGCGAGATTTCATTACACAAGAGAATTATTACGAAATGTTTCGTTGCAAGATTATCATGGAACACTTTGTCGCAAAAGAGTCATTGTAGGACTTCACAGCAAAAGAGAAAAACTTTATCACAGAAACGGATTCATCATTGAACTTTGTTGCAGATAAACAGTTCTAATTATTTGTGGTAAAGCAAGATCACTGCAGAATATCTCTCTTGTCACAGAACAGAATCATCACACATCATCTTTGTATATCTCTGAACAAAATTATTGTAGGATTTTATCGAAAAGGGAATTATCGTGAAATATAGTTGCTGCGGAGTATAGCGAGATTTCATTACACAAGAGAATTATTACGAAATGTTTTGTTGCAAGATTATATCATGGAACACTTTGTCGCAAAAGAGTCATTGTAGGACTTCACAGCAAAAGAGAATTATGAGATTTTGTCGCAGAAGATGATCGTCGTTATTCAGCTTTATTAATAGGTTAAAAGTTTTTAATATTTTGTCACGAAGCATGATTATTGTGGAATTTCTTGTTATAGAATAATATTATCATGCTACTATTCTACATTGTTTTTGTATGTTTTCATCTCTAAATAGGATTATTGTGGGACTTTATCGCAGAAAGAATCATACTGGAATTTAAAGATTGCTAAACTTTGTTACACGAGAAGATTATCATTATTGCATGACGTAGTCACAAAACAGGATTACCGTAAGACTATCATATATTTTCGTTTCTCAATAGAATTATTATGGAATTGTATTGTAGAAGAAAGTTATTATAGGAAAATGAAAATCGTAAAATTTCATTGGAAAAGTCAATCATCTTAACCTTTTTATATTATAGGAAAGAATCATTGTATAACTTATAGTGTGGAACTTTATGATATGGATCTTAGACATCGTAAGTTTCTATAGCTTTGATGTCGTGGAATTTAAAGTTCCAGCATCAAAAAAACTCGAACTTTTATATTATAAATCTTAGACATTGTGGAATTATTTTTTCATCAATTTAAACATTGTTTTCAGCTACATTTTGAACATTGCAGGACATACGCTTCAATATCGTCAAGTTAAACTTTTTTTTATAACGAAATTGAATCTTTCGCATTATTGGACTTAGACTTTTAATTTTCAAAATTTGGTCTTTTACTATCAAGAGATTTGGATTCTTAATATTGCAAAATTTTTTTAGAAGAGAAAGAAAATATAATAAAATATAAAGAACAAATATTTTTGTACATGAATATTTACTAAATCATTTTATTTTAATTAAACAAATATTTTTATTAATAAATTATTAGCATCTTCAATATCATTCTGAATTTGTGAGAAGTTTATATAATTACATATGTATAATAGGATTTGTAATTATATAAATATAATAGAATTTCCTTAAATTTTAGTCTTGTGTGTATTAATTTTGATACCCTTCCAAATATTCTTTTTCAAACAAACAATAATATCGCATCATCCCTAAATGATTGCGGTTAATGATTATCTATGTGATATTTTCATTTATAATTTTTACATATGTCCAATTATCATATTTTTTGTTTGCGATATTGATTATATTTATCCCGTTGTATCGGAATTCCTTGTCTGGTATTATAAATTGCGTTGATTGAACACTTCATGTTCGATAGTTTATGGCTAACGATGGCTGCGGTCGGGAAGATACTAGAAATGCTTCGAAGCGTTCAATTGACCAATCAGGATAAAAAGAGTAAAGATTTCTTTATTCTGATTGGTTAATGCAATGCTTCGAAGCATCTCGAGCGTCTTCCCGACCGCAGCCAATGATCGCGTTGTGATTTCTAATTTAACCTTTTTCTTATATTTATGTATAATTATCTTCAACTTTGTGAAATAGAGAATCGAAAACCATGGAGTATTCCCAGCGTAAGTAATGTTCAATTGTATAAAAAATTTTAAAAATACATGCGCGCAGAATATTAATTTATAGATAGACAACGTTTGGTATTATTATGTATATTTCGGTGAATAAAGTGCTAAAATAAGTTTACTTGTAAACAAGTAATATTTTTAATTCTGAGTAATATTTCTTAAAATTAGAAAATTTGTTATATCAAAATGTAAAATTATGTAGAATTGTATTTATATCATAGACAGAGATAGATTATATAGTACATTATGAATTATATATATAACTGATGTAATACAACAAATATCGTTTTATGGATTGCAAAACTTGTATTAAGAAAAAAAAATTATATAGTTTTTTAAATATATTTACTTTTTTTTACAGAGAAGCAGTTGATGGAGGCTTTTCGCACTGACTGCCAAACATTGATAACACGTTTTGAGCTATCTTACAATACTCACTTTCAAAACTTCTGTGAGATCTGGAAAGATATGCAGTTTAGCTTGGTTTTTTCCAAGTATGTATTTTGTAAATGTACATTTTAATTTTTTACAAAAAAGACATGTCACTCTTAAACATTAGTGATTCTTTTTTCAATTTTTTTCTCTAAGAAGCTTTACTAATTTAACTTGTGCTGTTAAATACAAATCTATTGAAAAAAGCTATTAATGAAAATTAATTTCTTGCAGTTTTCATCCTTCTGAAGCAACTTTAATGGCATTATGCGAAGATGCTCTTTGTATAACAAAGCAATTTCTAATAAATGTGACCAGTCTAAAGGAGCGTATTGGAGCTCTGTACCTTATGTATGCAATATACTATAAAATGCCAACGAATCGATTTAAAATTAGAATGACCCTGTCAGATTGGAAATGTTTGATGGAGTTGCATAGTCAAATCAAGAAAGAAGAATATCTTGATGCTAACTACATCTTATGCAAGTTAATTGTTGATTGTGCATTTGTTCATTGCATTAGCGATAGAGAGGTATACAATTTATCTGGAATTGAAAAGTATTAAATGTTGAATTGAGTATTAAAATGGCAACTTGTAAAAATTTGATTTAAAAAGCAATTTATACATATATTTGTTAAAAAACATGTTGTTATTAATATAAAAATATTTGTTTACTTATAGTACGGTATTGAGAGGCACTTTTATAAAAAGCAGGAACAGCCTAAGTTGGCTGTGAATTTAATGCCAGAGATCAAGGATCTAGCAACACCTGGAAAGCTATTATCAATGATCAGTGAATTGAGCAAAACCTATGAGAAGAAGAAAGGCGTTTTATGCGACGCAGAAGGAGATTCCAGCTTGCAACTCTACAACGCCAACATGGCAGATGATATCGTTAATAGCATTCGTATAATGCAGTCAGAGAGTAGAACATTTGCCAAATCTGAGGATCCAGAGCCCGGTTGTAGCAAGCCATCAACAGTATCATTGTCGAATAGCGAAACTGTTCAAAAAGATCAAAAACGGTGAGTAAAATTTTCTAATATACGATGTTCTGTGATACATTTCGAAAAGATAATAATAGTCCTACGAAAAATGCAAAAAAAAACATATGGTTGTTCAACCAAAAAACAAATGTAGCTGCTCGTTGCAAATTACATACTTATAAACTAGAATTGTGGATTATTGCAATGAGCAATCTTTCGTGTATAATAATAATAATAATTCTTTTACAGCATTCGATTCCGCAAGAATAATATCTTATCCAAAATAGGCCGAGCGTTTGGAGAAGGGTTACAATCAGAATCCGAAGAAGAACAGAATGACTCGGACATCGATTTTCTGGAAAACGAGTGAAAGAGCTCTTCCTTAAAAGTAAGTAAGAGAAAGATGTACAAAATTATAATTGAAGACTTCATTCAGATATTAATTTAAATATAGAGATATAAAAGAGAGAAATAAAAAGAAGCAATTGATACTTTTTTCATGATTTAGATGCAAAATAAATTCTAATGAAATTATAAGAAATCAAATTCTATTGAATATTGTCGTTAGAACTGTTTTATAAACCTAATTAAATTTTATAATATCTTTGTAAAATGTCTTCTTTGTAAAATGTGACATAGATAACCAAAGAAGATAATCAAATACATAATGTTTTATATATAATAAAAGTTAATATATATGTACTATGAAATAAATGTGTACATTTATTCATGTTTTTGTGAAACATCTTTTATTGTAAATATAGTTCATGAGGATTATTGTATTTAAATATTATAACTTTTTTTGTATAATAGTGATCAGTTGAATCTCTTACAAAAACGCTTTATTCTGCGTCAAATCAACATAGACAAGACAATTCAATTAAATTACTAAACTATAATAAAATGAAATTCAAGTAATTCTCTGAACATAAAAGCATGGGCACAATTGAAGAGTTTAATATAATAGTAGTCTAATCCACTTTTTTAAAAACTTCATTTTGATGTAATTTGACATCAAAATGAATATTTTTGTTATTTGGACTTTCAAGATTTACAAGCATTCTAAACACATACATTCTTTATTTTCCAAAAAACAATTTAAAATTTTCGTCACGCGTTTGAAATTAGCTCGTCACTGGCAGGAGCCTCGAAAGGACCTGTTTAACAATCCGAGTTAGCATTACTCATGGATGCTGTTTTGTAGGCAAATCAAGCAAAAAATCAAGTTCGCGTAGCGCTCTTCTAGTAGACCTTTAATTGGTTATTGTCATCAAAGCCGGCGCTATGACCCGCATTTCTTACTATAAAGCTGGTGCCGTCGTAGTGCATGCGACGTTCGCCACGACGCACGAACAGATGTGACGTTTGACCCAGAGATGCAGTGCAGTGTAGAAAAGGCGTTGTCAATGACGCTGTGCCGTTGCTAGGTGATGTACGTAGTTGGTACTTGTTGCTATTTCGTGCAATTCTGTTGTACACAATGAAGATATTAAACTTATACGCGAATATCATATATCTAGAAATTTTTGACTTATACTAATTTACATAATCTTCAGAATAAGAAATAAAAAAAGAAATTATTTTCTATAATATGTGTGCGTGCGTGTATGTGAGAATATAATATATCTTATTTTTCTAAATTAGTATAATAAAAATTTAATATTAAACTTAATTACTTTTATTAAATTTGTATAATTTATACAATAGCCTTTTTTTTTTATTTTTAAATATTTTCAGATTAACCAATGAAATGCGAATACCTGACGAGGCCATCGGGCGTCTGGGATATTCTGATATTATTGATAATCCAATTCTCAACTCCTTCATCTGTTTGCCAATACTGAGCTGTACTGAGATGTGCCGCAGCTTCTTGCAAACATGTTGGTCCATGACGAGAATCTGAGTAAAAGACACTCAGCGAAAAGTCCTACGAGATAATAATCAAAAATTGCAAAAAATAAGTTTATTATAGTTCATTCAATTTAATTTAGAGTGGTCGTCGCTATAGATCAAAAAAAAAAAAAAAAAAAAAAAAAAAAAAAAAAAAACCAACCCATTATGCATATATGATCTGAAAGTTTCAGAGAACATTAAGATTCGAAATATAAGACTCGAAAAATATAAGCAAAGTCTTGAGTAAGTTAGTTTAGGAGCATAAATTAAGTTTCCATTTGCTTTCTCATTCTACCTGACTCATATCCGAGAAGGAGTCCGTTGTAGTCCTAGTCCCAGCCGTGTCCACCAGATAAACGAGCGCACATTGTTCCGATGTGAAACTGACTCCCTTATACCACATTTTCGCATATCTAATGGAGTAAAAATACCGAAATTGACACGATCAATTAAATAACGAGAGAATTTGGATAGCTAACTTGTTATTGCCATGCATGTCGTGGGCGACGATCTCCACTCGGGAACCGTACTGATATATCCTACCATTGGGATGTAGCAAGGCGGCAGCCGCTCCGGAGCCGCTCAGCGATAGGACAATGTTGTTCTACGAAGGAATGGAAAGTATATAGATCTGGATTAAATCTAGATCTGAGTTGATACTTTATTTCATAAACCTAAATTTTTTTTTTTTATGTTTATTAATATATTGATATTTTAAATCTAA